CTGCAGGAGCAGTGTAGGGAGCTCCAGCCAGCAGGCTGACGCCAAAGGAGTGAAAGCACACGTGAAAATAAATAGCTCATCCAAGTCTCTTTATAAATTGGAACAGCTCATTGATGTGACCTGCTGGGAAAATCAGAAGGGAAACGATGAGAATTGCTGCCATGCCATTACTGTGGAAGGATATTTAAAGATGTAATGATGCCAAATTTCTGTTTCCAAGAAACAGGGCAGTGTGGTGTACAGAAATAAATAACCCCTGGAGCAATGAGTGCCTCACCTTTGCAGTTCTGCATGGAAAGCAAGTTATCAAATATGCTCGTCTGTCATGGAACTTTCATCTGCTAAAAGAATGATTGATTAAAGAATGATTGATTGAAACCAGCTACTTTAACAAGTCAGCCAAGAAGACCACTGTTCATCCCCTCCCTGTTCTGTGACACTGTAAGTGTTGGAGAAGCCTCTTGTATAATAAACTGTCCCAGTAACTGGGGAAATTATGGCAATCTCCAAGTGATGTCAGGTTAGCTGGAGACTTGATGAGCATCTTTGAAGGAACTGTGTGTTGGAATCCATCCCTGGGTATATTCCCCCCACATCCACCAATGTGTTCCTTAAATGAGAGTTTCCCCAGAGAAAACAACACAGGAGTAGTGTAAGCCAGAATTTGTGCAGGTGGAGTCCTGCACACTCAGAGTCAGGAGGTTTACACCATTTCTGTCAGACAGCAGCCTTTCACTGCACTGCAAAGGGACCAGAATAAGGGCAAGCAACCAACCCCAGCATCCAGAGGATCCAGTCACCAGGGGGAACAAACCCGTTTTCCCTTCCCAGTGTATCCCAGGACTTCTTGAAATGAAATGCACAACACCTAATCTGCTGTCTCTCCTTTACTGTATTGTCTGAATAGGCCTAAACATCATAAATGAAAATTACAAGCTTCAAATTACATGGCTAAAGGGTAAGAAAGAGAAGAAAAACAGAGAATGTAATTCTTATACTGATACAGTCAGCATAGTAGCACTGGCCATCCACCTACTGGTTTATTTTTTGGACAAAATTCCTGTTTTCAGATGAATTCTCTTTCTACAAGGTCTTAAAGACTGCATGGTCAAATGTGCCAATGTACCAAAAATGAGATCAAAAGATTCCCATGGAGATCAAAATTAAGTAGGATTAGATGTAAGCCAAGACTTGTAGTTTTTACTGGAAACGTATAAGATGGGAAAGTCGAAGGATGTGAAAGGAATAATGAAAAACCACATAGGATATCAGTGTGAACTGTGGACCCGTGTCCCCTACATTCCCATAAAAATTCAATCTATAACTCATTGCCTCTCTCATATAGATATATAAATTAGAATCATCCAGTCATCCTGGCTATTCCTGTAATTCCAGCCAAGCCAGATCAGAGCTTACAACATGAGAAACACTTTCAGCTGAAGTACCTGTAAAAAAAATCCTGTCATTTCAACAAATTCCTCTCATATATGAAAGCAAAGTAATAATTAAATAAAGGTTTTCTCCACAAATACAAACATGCATTCCCATCTGGGATGGTGCACTTCCCCTTCCCCCCAGCCCTACTCTGGATTGCTCTACTTTCTTAGGAATTCCTGCTTGGCCTTGGCCTTTGTGTAACGAGTTGGGTGGTGAAGTGTCCCTTGACCATCCCAGGCATTCTTGCATGGCTAAAGTGGGAGCAGTACCAGGTAAGGTGTGGAATGCCAGCAGGAATATTCTGTCAGTCCCTGACAGCCTTGGAACATTCTTTTCCTGAATTATAGCCCAACTGGAAGGGTACCATTGTTACCAGAATTTTCAAAATTCCAGTAATTAGCGACCCAGATTGTGCCCAGGATGGAAATTTAGGTACCCTACACCAAGCATAGTCTGAATGTTGCCACTTTGGATCCATAGTTGACTGTTGCAATTGTAGTAAACTCCTTTGTAAATGTTAAATTAGTCAATGATTAAGTGCTGCTAAAATCTCCTGATCCACCTTAAAACTGTGAATAAACCTCAGGCTGCTGCTCCTTCAGAAGCCGTGTAAAAATTCCATCTGTGCTGAATTGCTACTTTTACAGCATCATATTAAGACCACCTTTTGCTGATATGTTGGATGGTGGTTCTTTAGGTGACCCTAATTAGTTACATGTGTAATCCTTAGGATATAAACCATTGATCAAGTCTAAGATGGGACCTAGTTGCACCCAAGTTCTATCAGGAGTTTAACAAGCAAGGTGGGGTCTACTCTGAACCTCATGATTCAACAGAAGGGTCCCCCTCACTCTTTTGCATTTTTGATCTCTGTGTAAACAATTTTGTCTCGATTCTAACTTTATTTTCCTTTGTATGTTCCATCCATGTAGTAATAGAGTGAATCTTGACACTTAACTTCGTTAAATCTCACTTTACAAATTCATAACCAACATACTTTTGTTAATAGCTTTGATGGTGATCCTTTAACAATCTAAGCCACTCATTGACAACTCCATCAAGCTCAAAATCTGAACCCAAGCAATCATGAAGGTTTCATCCAGGGATTTTCAAGGAAACAATGCCCAAAAGAGAGAGTGAGTTATCTTGCCTTTCAACTCTGAAAAAAGTATTTCTTGGTTTAAATCATTTCAGGCTGAATTTACAGTGTCATTCACTCAGCAATTCAGTGAAATTACACATGCATCAAATTCTCAAAAGCATTTTATGCCATCTGTTTGGGATAGTTAGAGTGAACATATTTAGGGGGTGAATTTAGTAATTATAAGGGGAGGAAATTAACATATTGGACTAATTAACAGCATCTTCTGGAAAAGAAACAGGGAAAATAACCACTTACAAAACTTAATGTTTACTGTTCTCCCAGCTAAATAAAGACTGTTCAATATGGCTCTCCTTGGGTTTCTTTACTTGATTTTTTTTTCCCCCCTTCTAAAATATGATATCTGCACTCTGTTGAGGAGCATGAGCCAGAGAAAAGACTCAGGCACTGCAGGCTCTGTGGTCTGGTTCCATCCATCCCTGCTGCTGAATGGAGCAATGTTCACACACCAGTACTCCAACATGACACATCCCTGTCGTTGTGAGGGTTCAGAATGAGGGATGCACACAGCTCACCTCATTTTGGGCACCAAAAGATTAAAGCAGACTCAGTCACAGGAGCTCGTTATCCTCGGATCCCGTTAAAGAAAAAGCATTTGGTTTCTGCTCCATCTTAGGTGCCCGTTTGGGATGAAATCACACTTTGGACTTTAACTGCAGCAACTAGAACTTGACTGACTATAGAGAGGAGATCACTATGGGGCAGAGCTCCATTTCTGATGGGATGTCTCATAGCTGAACAGTCCAGACTGCTTTGAAGATCCAGGTGTCATGGAACACAAGGAGAACATGTGCTGCATAGAAGAGCCATGTTCCTGTTGATGGTCCACCACACTGAGAGAAGAACATTTACCTGTGCTAAGCAGAAAAATGAACTTTTGTCTCTAGTTTGTCCCAAAGTTCACCTCATGCTTATGCCTGAGTCTGGGCTTATGTCTGACCATTGGTTTTTACAATATGTATATATTATATACCTAACCCCATTCTCAAAGCAGAGTACAGATCACAGGATTTTGAAGTACCATGGGAAGGCATGTTCTAGAAAAGCTGCACTGTCTCCATATGGACTGTCTCCATATAAAAATTGGATTGTCTCTATATAAAAATTGAGTTTCATTAATTTCAGAGCAATGCTTTACCTCTGATCACTGACACTTTACAGTGACAGTGGAATAGAAGAGAGGCTTCTGTGGCTTCTCTCTTTCCCTTTCCTATTAAAATGCTATTCTTGTAACCACATTCTGCCTGAAAAGATGTCCTGTGTTTATGCATCATTTAAACAACCCAGAAAATTATTTTTTGTCAACAGTTGAAAAAGAAATTGTTTGCTGACTCTAAAGACAGCCTGAGGAGGAATTTGTTTTTTCTGCAATAGAAGCTCTGCACAAGGAAAAATGCATTATGAATAAGTGGCAAGTTCTATAGTAATATTTACAAAAACATTCAAAAGGCAAAGAACACCTGAAAGAAAGGTTCAAACACAGAAACTCATCTATCTCCCCCTTGTTTCCATCTACAGAATGGTCATTAAAATTTATATAAATAAATATGTTTCATGAGGCAGAGTTGCTCCCTGGAACTCAACAGCACAAGTTGCAGAGCTTGGACCAGATTCATAAGGCAGGTCAACACACTCATTTATATGCAAATCAAGAAGCAGTTAAGCACAACTGTCAGACTCGAGTCTGATCAGCTTGTTTAGATCAGTTTATTGTCCTTAAGGAATTGATACAGTCAGAGTAAAACACTATTGATTTGGTATGTTATACAGAAAGATTTTTTCTTCCCTGAGCCTCACTTCCTCTGTCTGGAGAACTGACTGAGTGATAATACCTAGATTATTTTTAAACTCCTCCCTCCACGAAGATTTACCAGGGGCAAAGAGAAGTGAAGGGGAAAGAAAGAAACAACTTGACAACTTCTCCCCCAGTAGGATCACTCATTGCAGCACAGCCCCCCCCAGTCATGCTGCAGAGGAGAGGCTCTGAGTGTGCTCCTCCCACTTCTGAAGCCAAACTGGGTCCAGTTTCACATCTCTTACAGCATCATTTTTCTGCTGTATGAGATGTGTATTTTGGTGTACTTCAGCCAAGAGTCGAGTGCTTTGCCCTGCTTTCAGAAACTGGTCTGGATGCAGACACTTCAGCTGTTCTAACCTTCAACTAGCATATCAGTCAGCAAGCATAGCTAATTCAACAGATTAAATTATGAGAAAGGGCTGTCATTGTGTAAAATTCCAAGTTTTCTTTCCGTGTCACACCGCTGTTCATTGTTGCCAATGAAAACCCAAGACTGGAGGCACTATGTTTATCTCAGCAGGAAAAGATGTTCCTGGAGCAAGGACACTTTGAAAACAGATCCTGCAGTAACAAGAAGCCAACAAGAAATGGAGAAATAAATACCTGTGACATTGGTGCGGGCTGACAAAGCCTCACAGTACTTTTCCAGCAGAACAGATAAGGGCAGGTTCACAGAAGACTCACAGTGGAGAACTATCTGGATGAAGAGACAGAAATAAACCAAACAGTAAATAAGAAGCAGAGAACAGATTTTTCTCATTCATGAGTAAATCCCAGCACTTTTGTAGCAGCTCCCATTACTAATTGATTCAGGTACAGAAATCCCATCATGACAGAGAAGGTTTGTGGTTACACTTGCTTAGCTCCAGGTCGTCACATGGAATTCATCTGACTAGATGCAGGCATCTACAAACGAACCACCTCTTCTGGACCTCTTCTTGTGGGACCTGCTCAATGCCATTAACAAAGCTCAGGGTCCAATTTTTGTCTCACCTAAAAGTGGATGCCTAAAATAGTGAAGGTGAATCACCTCCCATCAAAGATCATTTTTTCAATGGTTACATGGGTGCTAAAGATCCTTCCATATTCAAGAGATAAAGCAACTGGAAAAGGGCAATTCAGAGGGCTTGAGGAAAGTGGTTGCATAGAATAAATAGGACAAATAGGCATCCCTATAAGGTGATTTTTGGTTCTTTTGAGACAGGAAAGTAGACATGAGTTTCTGACCCTCAGAATTCAGTGCTGAGCCCACTACTGAGGGCAAATGCTAGTGAGAAAGAACAGCAATGTCAACGTGGGCACTTCAAACAAGTTGCAGGTTCAGTACAGGACAATAGTACATCCCCAAGTAAATTTTAGGAAATACAGAAGTAGAGTGGAAATCAAGGGGTATATTGTAATTTTCACTCTCAAAATTAAATTACTGAAGTGCCCAGAGCAGACAGAGGAGAGAAGCCCCCAGAACTGTACATCCCAACACAGAGCTGAGTTGGGAACCTCTTTGGAGGAAAAGCAGCTCTTGAAAAGCCCTTTAGGAAAGGCAGAACTAAATGTGGCGAGAAAATTCAGGAGTGAGACATCAGTGACAGAAACTTTCATTTTCAGAATATGAAACACAACCTTCCTGACTATTTCTGAGGGGATATAAAGCTGTGGTAACACACATAAAACGCCTTTGCTTTCTGTTTAGGCGCAATGACTCCAACACAATACAGGTGGCTTTTACTCAGGAAGCGACCCTGCTCCTTCCATGCTGATGTCACATTTCAGTGCTCTGAGATGTGTTAAGTGACTGCAGAACCCTTTTCATGCTGCTGAATTCCTTGTCACTTAACAGGAAGGGGGGGTCATGACAACAGAATCCATCAGCAGTGTTGGTCCCTAAAGAACAACTGTTCTCTGTACGATGCCATTTCTACCTATTTCTCACTTTGCTGTCATTTTACAAAATAGGAAGCCCTGAAATGCAAGCAAAAAGCCTTTCTCAGACTTCATTCTTTTCGCACAAACACCATGAAGCTGCTGTTTCTCCTTCAGGGAGAGTCAAATCCCACTTCCCATAGCACAGCCTCCCAGGGTACTGACCATGCATGGCCGGGTCAAGGAGACAGAGAAAGGCTGCTCTGCATCCAGGACAGATTCCATCCTAAAAGCACAGAGCTCCAGCCCAGCCTGCCAGTAAGCAAACCCTGTAGTGGTCATGTCTCATGTCAGACCCAGACAAGTGAGCTGACACAGCAGAGGCATCTCCTCCCCTCCAACCCTCCACCCCTCTGCCACCTCACAGGCCAAAGCACTGTCTCACTTCAAAGAAGAAACTCGAGATATCTCCATGTACTGTAAATACGCTGCATGTCCAGCTGTCCCCTCCCTGAGATGATGGGAAAGAACAGACAGAGGTCAGGCACAGGCACAGCATGGGGAGGAGGAACAAGAAAGGTTAAATGTCACATTCACTTCAGGGTCAGCTTAGGTTAATTTGGCTGGAGGGAAAAGCGCCTTCCAGGTATTATGTTACTTTTGGTTTCATTTTCTCCCCTCTAACCGCGGTGAACACCCTTGTTGTGTGTGAAACCTTTTTTAAAAAAAACTTATTTAAAGCAGACAAGCCCCAAAAGACTAAAAATCCTTCTTAAAATAATAAAGAACAGGGGAAAAAAAAAAAAGAGAAACATTTTACTAATGTAGGACTGCAAAAATAAATAATTGGGCCTGTTGTGCATCTATTTTGAAATGTTAAAATAATTGCTTTACTAATGCATACTTTACTAAAACAGCATTTCTTCTAAGACAGCTATCTCTGTCAGAGAGTATGAAACTATGAGGCACAATCAGAGGAACACAAAATCATCTCTAGAGGAGGGAAGGGCAGATGAAAACGGCAACAACTTTAAGGGAGAGTAACATCTTGCTATGGTATGTTGTTAGAAGTAACAAGACACTAACAGTGTGTACTCCTCCATCAAATGAAGGGCTCCAATCTTGCAAACATCTATTTATGCAGAATTAGTTCTTTATTACACAAGTACTCTCACTAACACAGAGTCCTAAAAACCCATATGAAACATGTATTTAACAGGTTACAGTGGATCTGTACAGAGAGCTCTGGGCAAAGACAAATATCTAACCCATCCTAACGTTGCCTCCTCACAGTTCCTACCAGAATTTGTGGTTATTCCATGCAGATTACAGGGGACTTGTAATTTAATTTTTAAAAGATTTATCAGAGAGTCCTGATTTGAAACATTATTGAGTTCCACTATGTTGTAATTTAGACATATAAAAGCAAATGAACACTGCTGTTGTAAAGTTCACCTGCGTGGGAGAGGTTGTTTTATTCTCTCAAACATGTAAGAAATGACTGCAATAATATAAAATAAAGCCCCAGTGCTACAGACAGGATCCAAAAAATGTCAATACAGGCATGGGGCTGCCACAGACACACAATGGAGGATCTTATAAGTTTAAATATCTAACAATAAATAGCAGCAAAGTGGATGAAGTCGGGATGACTGAAAGCTGAAGGGAAGAACTCAGGTGGAAGAGGATGACACGTGACAGTGGAACATTCCTTGCCAAGACAGAGGTAAGCTCAGAGGCAGTGAGTGCTGCCAAACATGGACAGATGCACGTGCTCCACTTTCCCATTCTCACACAAGAATTCCCAGCTAACATATTCCAGTTGCCTAATAAAAGCCAGTTGTTAGGCCTCCCTGTGAAACATCTGCTGGTGGCCTGCTGAGCAAAAGCAGAGGTGTTGACATCTGAGACAGCCTCAAAGTAACAGAGCAAAACCTCTCCCTTTCAAAAAAAAAAAAATAAATGTTTCCAGTATTTATAAGGTCCCAGAGAAATCCATCCCATGAAACTACAGCAGCATCTCATCAGAAAACCACCCACAGAAGAGCAGTGGGATTTGTATTAAATAGCTCAGACTTCAAAACAGAGAGAGCAACAGCTGAGCTGATCACCCAGGATTTCCTCTGCAATTCAGGAGGAGAAGCAGGATTTTTTTCAGATGCAATTCATCTGCTGTATTTTAAATCTTTAAGCTGAAATTTCCTGCACTGACCGCACTAGCTGGGTCTCACCCCCTAGAAGGACAGGGTCACTTGGATGAATCTTTCCTAAATTTCCTTCAGACACTCCATGAAAAAGGAGAGGTAAAAACAGTCTCAGAGGTGATGGCTACAGGAGACAGGAACACATCCCCATCTTATCTGGAGCACTACTCCTGTCTTTTACTGAGCAAGATGAGGTGACCTTCCATCATCAAACAATTTTGTAGTTCTCAGCTACAAAACATGTGCTCAGTCCACAGCTGACAAGAGAAGGACCCATTTCATGCCTCTAAGGCCATACAGGAGCAAAGTTTCAGTCTAAACTATCCACCTGTGCTCTTTATAAAGTCAAAACACTTCCCTTTCTGAGCAGACACCTCTGGTAATGGCACAGATTGTGTCTGGAGTGTGTTTATTCCTATCCTTCATCTCTCTGAAGCAGCACTGCTTAAATAAATACTACCTTTTACTTAATTTTTACTTCTTCAATTAAATAAATACTACCTTTTACTTAATTTTTACTTCTTCAATTAAATAAATACTACCTGTATTTTAGTTTTTCAATTTAATAGATAATACCTGCATTTAATTTCTAGTTCTTCAGTTAGACAATGCAAATAAATTCATTTGAGAGACACTCCTGGCTCAAAGGTAACCTTATCAAGTTAAGCTCTCCAAAGGCACCATCCCCACAATGAGATCCTGTGCTCACCTCAATGTTTGGGAAAGATGTTCTCAGGGCAGAGGTCCAATTCAGCATAAATATTGTTAGTTTGTGTCCACAGAAGCTCATTTCAGGGAGACACGTGCATTTAACTTCACAATGAAAATGTAATTAGTGAAAGAGCTCAATGCAGCAAAAGCAAAGTGAATCCCACCCTTCCATGACAAAACCCAAACTCCATTTGAATACAGCTGAGGAGTTTCCAGGACAGGTGGGCACTTGGTAAGTTCTACAGGGGTTCCTGACATCACCAGTATTGTGTATGAAAACAGATGCCCAGGGAAAAAACGCCAGGTATTCCATGGAATACACTTATAACAAATGCCAATGTTCATCTGAGCAGCTCTTTCCCTCTAAGGGATGGCAACACATGGGAGGGAATGAGGAGAGCTGGAATATTTGCTGACTATTAATCACCTGAAGGAATATGCACAACCAGGGAGAGTGAAAAATGCTACTTCAGGAGAAAAAAAGAGATTAGCACAGGAGAGGAGGGGGAATTCATCTTTACTGTTGCCAGGATGGATTTATATTCACTGGTGTGTGGTTGTTTCATACACGAGGTGTATATAAAAGAGGTGTTTGTTCAATGACAGTGACAAGAGGGCCAGAGTGGTCAAAATACTTGGCTTTTTGAAGAACCAAAAGACCTTTTTGGCTTTTCTCATCTCAGTCATTTAAAACTTCTCGTGCAGCAGCATTTGCCAGCATACAATTGTTTGGTTCTGCTTCACCAGAAAATTAATTTATGATAGAAAGTCTAATTACAAGTTTTCACAGGAACCTGCAACCTGAAGCCTGAGACAGCTAAGGTTACAGTAAAAGGAAAGACTCTGGGAATAGCTCAAGAAAAGCAGTCTCCTTTTCAAGTTATCCTTCAGCTCTTTCAACTCCCTGTCATTACTCACCTCTAAGTTAATCCAAGCAGATAGATAAAATAGTGATACCAGCTACAGAACCCCAAATGCTCCAGGAGACACTGCTCTATGATCTTAGAGGCCAGATGTATTCTGCAGCTCTTCCAGGAAGTCTGGAAAAAGAGACTATAAGTCTGCATGGAATGGGAATTAGGACCCCAGTTCAATAAAGCAACTGAACACATGCTCAGTTCTAAGCGTGAAATTAAATTAATCCTTATTCAAAAATAAATTAAAAAAAAAATCCCTTAAGCATCTGCTACACTGAGCCCACCACTGAACTTCACTGTTGTCTTTGAAACTTGGATATCTGCCTTCATTAAGCATCTGCCCACATGCTCTGCTGAATAAGGGTGTAGAGGGGAGGTTCTTGATGCACTGAAGCCAGGCACGTGCCAAGGGATCTTCTGAGTCATGAGACATAAAGCAAAATTGTTTAAGGCCACCCATGGGCTGGACTTGTCCAACCAAGTCTCCTACCCTTTCAAAGCCACATGAGATGTGTAAAAAAGGAGCAAAACAGCACTTGAATCGCAGGGTACAGCTCTCTTCAAAATAATATTGCTTAGTGGAAAGACTTTTCAATCTCACATCCCTGAAGAGTTTTTTTATTCATCCCCCACGTCTGTGAATATCATATCCAGAAACTGGAAGGAGAGCCAGCACTCCTGAATTAATGTCTTCCCTTTTCTTAGATCTTCACACCAAACCCATGACTAATTCTTCCCTACTCTTTCCACCCAATTCCCATTATTCTGAATCCTCTCAGCAGCTCAAACGTGATTCACCTCACCCACACATTTCAGAAGGCATTGCTTTAGGTTCCCTCATACCCAATGGAAGAAGGAAGCACTATCAAGGAACAATCCATTGCTTCTGCTTTAAACACATCCTTTAGGATGAGATAACTTATGCACTGGAGACAAAACACACAGGGAATCCAGAGTTTAAACTCAAGTTTAAAAGTCATATTTACCCAAGTGAATGTCAGTACCTCAGCTACCTCTTATCTACCTGAATAGCCTCTGCAAGGATCCATTGTCATCACACTGTCACTACACTTCAAGGCCTCCCTTCACAGGCTCTTCCACTTCTAGCTCAACAAATGTGAGCTCCTAATCTTTGTTTTTCAGGTCTCTCCCAGTATGCTCCTGCCTGAAAAAGGTAAAAATCCATCTCCCGTGCTTTAGGCTTTAATCAGCTACTGAACTCTGCTCAACTTTCCGTGGAATGTTGAAAATTGCACCTCTGTATCCTCCATAAAATGTTCCTTTAACCCAAAATTTCATGGTAGTTCAGTGTCACCTCATCGACTCATTTTTAATTCTCTTTCTCTCCATCCATTCCTTTTTCCTTAAATTTTTACCTCTTGGGCTGGAGCCCACCTTTAGAGGTTTGAAAAACGCATATCACAGGGAAATTTAACTCCAAGACTGGAACAAGAGAAGATCTTCTTCCTCCTGAAGAGGAATTACAGAGGAGTCAGACTCCTGTCAGGAGCTGACAGCAGAAAGACAAGACAGGCATCATTCACAAGTTGAAGTGAGGGAAAATCTCACAGAACATAAAGGGAAAAAATATGCACCATGACAACGACTGAGCATTGGAAAAAAGGTTCAGAGATGTTGTGAAAGCTCCATCTTTGCAGGTTTTCACAACTGAACTGGGTGAGCATGATGTGGTTTTGGAATTAGCCCTGCACAAATTGTTTTCCCATTCCTTGGTTCTAGAATCTATAGTCCCTATGGTAAAAAGTATCATAGATAACAATTACTCTCCAAACCTTTTTTTTTGCAATGCAGTAATTACCAGTTTACAGGCTGTATCTTGAACAATAATCAGCAATCTCGAGGCTTTGAGGGTTTTTTCATTCATGTTTCTAATATTTTGGACTCTGTTCACATAATAATAATTAAAATATTTTGCCAAATAATATGAAAAGACATTTTTAAATTATTTTTGTATTTAAAAATAGAATTTTCTTTTATTCTGTCTGAAAGAAATACTGGAAGTCTGACAAGGCTTCAAAATATTCACAAAGACACTAGTTCTGATAAAATAAGGGTTTCTTACACCTTGGAAGGTGTCTCAAGTTCAAGATGGACTAAATAGCTGATGTCACAGCAGGGAGGACTTGAGACAGGATGAGGAAAAATCCTCGCTGCTTCTGACGAGGAGCACACGCGGTCAAAATTCTTTCCTGTGCTCTGGGACGTTGTTCTCCTCAGCCAGAGGGATAACCCTGGCCTTCCTCTCTGCTTTGAAAGACTCAGCTGATAACAGGAGGAGCGGGCAGATCCCTGGATGCCTTCACCCCCGAAGCAAGGGAAGAGCGGGAGCAGAGCACTCTTTTAAGTAGTCCAGGGGCTGGAACAGGGAAAGCAGCAAGGTGACAGCTGTGATGGCCACTGCAAAGTGCAGCCCCTGGTGCTGTCTCTGCTGGCAGGGCCTCCTGAAACCCAAGCTCTGTCTGGGCTGGGGGAGTTTGCTACTGCCACTCAAAGGGAATCGATACTTTAGTCCCGGCCTGGCTAAGCCGCCAGCGAAGCCTGGCTGGCAGCCCCACGGCCAACCTGCTCCCACACACCAGCACACTTCCTTTCCTTCACTTTTGCCTTCTTTCCTCCTTCCTTTTCAATGGAAAAGCCACCTCTGCTGGAGGACAGCACTCCCAAAACTACGGCAGCGCAGGCATGGCAGCGCTCAACAAGTGTCCTGCATCCCAGGAACCTGGGGAACAGCAACACAGATTATCCCACAGCCCTCAGACTGGCTTCTTTCCCGTCCTCTGGCACTTCAGCTACTATTACCAGGGCAAGAGTTCAGCATTGCAGCGAGGACAGCTAATGTATTTTGATCTTCATCTGCATTGCTCACTATTTACTTTCCCGGCACACACGGTCCAGAGTGGACAGTTACTCAGCCAGGATTATGCAAAAGTTTATAAGGCTTTAATTACTTTCATTTTCCTGCAGCTCTGCTGAAGAAGTACCTTTGAGCTGTTGAATTACCAAATGGATTTTCTCTCTTATTCAGCGAAAACACGCCGTGTATCTGTACAAACACAGGCCGTGTCACTGATCATTCCAGGAGAAGGACCCTTCCCAAGTTCTCCACTCATGGAGCTCCACAATGGAGCTGTCAGGCTGGGGAACACAACGTGTACAGGTAGGAGCAGCACATTCCCAGCAGTGGGACTGACTCCCAACCTGGGCTCCCTTGTCCAGCAGTGAGGGACTCGTGAGCCAGCGGTCAGGGCAGGATGTTGGAATCCATCTCCCCTCTGTCCCTCCCACAGCCCTTCCCAAATGGACCAGCCTTTGTCAAGATCCAGCAGAACATGTTCCTGGGAGAGCCATCCCAGATGATCCCAGACCCAGAGAACCTGGCAGTACTTCCAACAGCTCTGACATGTTACATGTCAAAGAGCATTGCAGGAAGCATCTAACAAATATCCCCCCACTCTGGCAACAGAAACTGGAAATGAAATTTTCATGTATTTGGACATGTCTGATGAAATTCAAGCAGACATTCCTCTGAAGGACAGTGCTGTTTGCTGACTGATCACGATGCTCAATGAGTAGTTTCCATTTGTCTTCTTTTGTAACAACGGCCACAACCAAATTTATTCAGCTCCTCGGGGAAGAGAATTAAAACACATAAAGCTCTTTACCCAACACTTGCCAGCTTAAATCAATTACAGCTGTTTTCAAAGCAATTAAGATTTTAAAAAATGATTACCAGTAAAGGAAAGTTATTCTGTATAAAGAAATAGTTTGATAAAGCAAACTATCAGGAAGTGTTTAGTTGTTATGAATAGATAAGGAAGCAAAGACAATGTTTATGCAGTGCTGTGACACATGTTATTCTGAATCTACAGGAGAAAGGGAGGTGCCAGTGGCTCGCTGGACAGCTCCAGCTTTACATCCAACAATTCATGTTTGCACTTTAAGGGAGAGCAGACTACATTTGGGATTAAAACTGGTGTGGATTAAAAGAAATAAAGACGTGGACGTGATGAAGATCTGATCTATCTGATTCAATTTATAGACACGGTGTAGAAGAAGAAATTCCTGCAGAAATGTCATTTACTGGATAAATTTTTAATCTAAAGTAAATCAGCTTTCCCCCTAAGTCTCCTTTTTGGGTT